AGCGACTTATAGCAGGACTGAGGCAGACATTCGGACACTGGGGGGAACTGGGTGTAGGGCGCACGCCCCCTACCGGGAACTGCAAAATCATGTATATATACACGTGATTTTGCGCACCCGTGCCCCCCTGTTGCAGTACTTCTGCTATAGGGCAGACGGGAAGCAGTTAATGGAAAATAATGGCCCCATGAATGTTCTGTCCTCCAGGTGTGGCATTAATATGATTATCCATAGAGCTGTTGCACCTTATGAGTCTATCTGGAGAATGTGGTGGATTACATCATATGTGTATGGGGACCGCTCCACATCACTTATATTGTGTACCATCTATATTGGATGGTGATATCAGATTCTTCCTCCCCTTGTGTGTTAGGCTACATTCACACTATCTCTGTCAGCAGGTGTCAGACAGGCATTTGGGAAGCATTTTTAACGCTTCTTAAACTTCTCTGAAAATTATGCACATGGCAGCACAGTGCTGTTCACACTGAAGCGTTAGCGTCACGCCAAAACAGACGGCTCTGGTCGAGACAGGAGGAGTTGAAGCCTCCCATTCAAGTCTATAGTGCTGCTCTGCAAACGCCTGGTCGGTGTTTGCGGTGTGGTTGCGAGACATTTGCGGAGCGTTAACACCATTTAAACTTCATTATAGGCGTTTGTGGTGCAGTTTTAACACTTGGCAAAAGCCTACCAACCGCTGCAAAACTGTACATTGGGTTTTTGGAGTGTTTGCGGAGCGTTAAAAACACTTCACAAACGCCTAGCGCTTGTCAAATGCTATAGGGGCGTTTGGCAAGAGTTAGAAATAAAGTCAAGTGTGAACGAGCCCTAAGACATACTTAGATTGTTGATGGGTGTGATATGGGGAATGTTTAGCTCAGTGGTAGATTCGTTTTTTTGACGCAAGTCCATGTCAGTCTGAACTATGTTTAAGGGCGTTGCTACAGCTAAGTAGCATAGTAATGATGTAAAGCGTTGTTGACCAGGGATATCCCTGGCGATATCGTTGTGCATTGGTAAGTATTCCAATAGGATCCCACTGGTACAAGTCTTATGTGACTTGGTATGATAGAGGGCCATCATTTTTTGGAGTATATTGGGTCCAAGTGCAATCTGAGGAGTCTCTCAGAAACCCCCATCCTACTGTATCAATGTCTTCTCAGCATCTACTAAAATAAGGCTGGCTATTATATGGTTTCTCTGTGTACTTTCAATTAAAGAGATCATTTTCATAGTATTACCACAGGCAGGGTCAGGACTGGGGAGAGGAGGGGGAAATGGGACAGCTGCCATGAGCAAAGTATCTTTATGTAAGTAGCACCCCTCTATGTAGCCAGGGGGAGCTAGTGGTTATTTTTTAGTTAGAAAGTCTGAGCAGCAGCCTGATCAGTAGGATCAAATTTGGGGCAAGTGTGAGAGGCTCTGCAGATCAGGGCCTTAGTACCTCCTCCTTCTCTAGAATTTTGGAGAAGATTCTAGAAGCAGTGGGTAGGGGTAAGAAGGGGCTGATCTGCATACTTAGAGGATCCCAACCAAACCCCAAGCAGAAGGCTTGACATAGGGTTGGGACAGCCTTTAAGTATGTTGGATCCTGCTCACCTACCTACCAACTGGGAACTGGACAGGAGGATCACTCAGCCTCACCAGCCCCAGGAGGGAGGGCTACCTGTGGAGCCAGGAAAGGAGCCATCCCAACAGAAGGCCTGAAGACAGCCACCTACCTACACCAGCTCACAGGAAAGAGACTGAGTGAATACACTTACACACTCTGGTGGGAAACCTACTTATCTCCTTACCCGGGACTGTTCATCTTAAAGTGGCAGGCACTGGATCCCCTTGACCAGGGATTCCCCCGGACAGCTGGGTAAGGAAGAGGATTCATCTGGGGTGGTACACCAGGAGAGGCTAGAGAGCTCTCTGAGAAGAGTTTTGCCCTGTGAAGACTTGTACATAGTTGTCAGGAAGTTGCCATATACCCCATCAAAGTTCAATACCCCTAATAAAACTAAAACAAAAACAAAAAACACACTCAAGGACTGTTTACTGTCTCTAGAATGCAAATCTTGCAAGTCTGAGAAAATGCATGTTGCCTGGATGTGCAGGACTATAGGGGGACCCAAATCTTCAGCAACTCCTAAGGGGGTAGTGCTACATGTATTTGGGAGGCTTCTCAAGGCAGCACATAGAAGTACATTCAACAAAGCTTAGAGCTTGGACTCACCCCTTCTATTCTTTACTGATCTGCCCTGCTGCCTGGGAGCTGCCCTACCTGACAGGAGGAGCGCTAGCAGAACAGCGGAGATGTCTCCAGTGGTGAGGTCCATTGTGTGAGCCAGAAACGTACTTCTGGGATTGAACTGGATACTGGCACTCTAGAGATGCCAGTTGGCTACCCAACACTTTTTTTGGTTGCACCTTGCAACTGTCAGGCAGGCAGAAGTAGCACTGTAGTGCCAGTATCATAAATCTCAGATGCAGAAGATGATCAGGGGTGCCCAAATCAGGGGGGGAGAGGGGGGCACAGTTTGGCATCTTCATCTTGTGCACTGCTGGCAATTAATAGTTGCAGCACATACCTGCCACAGCTATCTGTGCTGCTGAACTGTGGCACACCATATGACACATGGGCAGACTCCTCACACCCCAGTATACTCAAAGTGGCCCACAATGGTAAACATAAAGAGGGCCAAGAAAGGGTTCACTTCTTTCCTTTGTTTTCCCACTTATCTACTGTACAACTTGTGAGACAGAGATAGGAAAAAATAGTCATGGCCGGAATTCCATTTCTGGAGTCCATACTGTACATATACAACCTTTGGTGCTCAGAGGACACACCTCAGCTAGGATCCTCCATCTCAATGACGAACCGCTGGGGAGTGGGGGCAGATTTCTCTTCTTCCTGTCTCCCCTTATGTGACAATATCACATCACCTGAGATAGGCAGAAGGAGAAGCTGCCGTCATTTCTGGTGGGTACTGTACTGAGGAGGTCTGAACTGAGTACATAAAAGATAGAGTGACAGAACAAAGTATTGTGGGTGTACAGGACTTTGAGGGCTCCAAATTCCACAGAAAACCATGAAATTAAAAGTTCTTTAAATCTTTATTATGGTAACATTAATAAACGAATAAAATCATAGGCTGAACCTATGTCAAGCACTCATACTCTCCTGAACACAGATATATAGTTGCAAATAGTTCAATCATCCATATTGCATTAGCAATACCCGACATGATTTGAGCTTCACTTTTCTTTAGGGCCACGGATTGATGGGGGCACCTACTGAAAGGGGGACTCCTGATGTAAGGCGGCTCTCTGATGGGAACACCAGATGTAAGGCGGCTCTCTGATGGGAACACCAGATGTAAGGCGGCACTCTGATGGGAACACCAGATGTAAGGCGGCACTCTGATGGGAACACCAGATGTAAGGCGGCACTCTGATGGGAACACCAGATGTAAGGCGGCACTCTGATGGGAACACCAGATGTATGTGAGAATTGAACATATTGAAATGCTATGCAAATTGTATATTGCTAAGGCTTCATGCACACTATTATGATAATCCTACCAACACTGGATATTTTTTTCCAGAAGCTGACAAAAACATCCAGGATTAAAAAAATGGTCATTTTGACAGGTAAGTACATGTGTTTTCAGACATTTAGAAGAGTATGCACATAACCTCATTCTATTGGCTACAATTTGAATTTATTCTGGCCACCAGAATTTTATAACATGCATTTATGTGCATATATGCATAAATTATGCCAGGAAGCTCCTCTTTGAATGCAAATTTGGGTCATTTTTTAAGCCCATAAGTTCTGCTCTAAAAGAGGAACCTAAATGCTGCAATGTGAATGGACACATTGGGTGAAATACAATTGCATTCAGGAGGCATAAAAAAAAAAACACCTCTGAAACTGTTTTTTTCTGCCTGTGTGCATGAGGTCTTCTTGTTGATAGACATAAAATGACTACATACTGTATGTACTAGAATTTGTGTCAAAGCCCATGACATCCTATAAGAATAGGATGTCTGCTGGAATAAAATTTTACCTCAATAACCATGCTTTCACAGCATAAAAGAACTGCAGTAAAGTTGCAGAGAGCAGACTATAGAGCTCCACTAAAAACTAAATATTTATTTGCAGAAGAAATAGAAGAAAAAATATGAATAAAACACTATACAGTACATATTCCTTACCATCCACAAGAAGGATGATTGATTGTCTGAATTAAATGTATGGAGTAATTTTCATAAGTAGCGCTACCATTAGGAACCAACTACAGCATAGTTAAAAAGATAAGTTCACCTTTCACAATATGTTACATTTTACACCCGTAATCAGAGTGTAACATGTTATGAAAAATCGGCCCCCTGCTTTGATCTCCTCCAACATTAAAAAAAAAAAAAAACACATGTCTGTGAGGGGCTCCATCTGTGAATGAGAAACTACAAGTTCCAACAGCCTTAGGGGCTGTGGAGCACCGTAGTAGTTCATTGATTCTTCTTGTCCGTAAACAGTATTTGCTTGCCCATACATTCTGTACAGGCAAGCAGGCATACTGACAGGTCTGCAGGAGACCTGCATGGCACCAGCGATCTGATGATCACTGGTGCAATGCTTTACAGGCTCCTGCAACAAAAGTTAAAAACTTTTTTTTTTTTTACCTACAAAAAAAATGTGCATTTATTATTTTTTTAGCAAAAGGTGAACTTATCCTTTAATATCTGATCAGGGTTCAGCGTTGGCAAAGCAATTATACAATGAAAGTTAATTGTCTAAGAGCTATGAATTGAAAAACTTTCTGAGTTAGTTGAAAAGATTTAATTCCTCCATGGAGAATATAATTACATCATCCTATTGGCTGTTCACTTTTTGGATGCTTCTTTTAAGAGCCTCTTTAACATCTTTGTTTCTCAAACCATAGATTACTGGATTAAACAAAGGGGGGAACAAGTTGTAAATTAGGGCATAAACTTTGTCAGTCTCCACATTATGCAGTTCTTTTGGCACAACATAGACAACAAAAAACACTGCTGAAAAAAAGGATGACAGTAGACAGGTGTGATGAGCAGGTGGAGAATGCCTTACTCCGTCCTTGCTTTGTCTTTATCTTCATTATGGAGTATATTATAATTATATACATGAGCAAAATGAAAATAGGGATGAACAAGGTAGCAATAGTGCTGGCTGATTGATTGGCAGTGTTTACAGGGGTTACATCAGCGCATGCCAAACTCAGAAGTGGTGCCAGATCACAGAAATAGTGTTTTAATTCATGTGGTTTACAGTATGGAAGTCTTACAGTAAGAGTCAATGGCATTATGGCCAACAAAAAACCCATAACACCAGCATATGAACATTACTACCTTACATACTCTTCCAGTTATGAGAGTGGGGTATCTAAGAGGGGTATATATGGCCATACACAACGGTCAAAGGCCATAATAGCCAAAAAACTGCATTCATTGATGGCAAGGCTGTGGAACATGTAGAGCTGAGCAAAACATGCTTGGAATGAGATCCTTTTGTTGTTGGTCAGCAGTATGGACAGCAGCTTGGGACCAGTGGTGGACACTAACCACAAATCCAGGAAGGATAAATTGGCGATGAAGAAGTACATAGGAATATGAAGCCTTACATTAGACCAAACCACCAAGATTATGATTGTGTTTCCACTCAGTGTTAGGAGGTAGATTATGAGAAAGAAAACAAAGAAATAGAATCGATATTGCTCAAGACTGGCAAAGCCTACTAGGAAAAAATCACCAAGCAATTCAGTGGTTTGATTTACTTCTTCCATAACATAACAGGGTATGTGTCAGATCTTGGAAAGGAGGGGTTTCCTTCTTTATTTAGGTAGACCTGTGAAAACCAAACAGACCGTTACAAGTTCTATTATATGTCAATTCAAATTAATAAAGGGCAATGGGATATTTGCACCTAAAATAAATTTAAATTACATTATAGTGAACAGAGCCAGCAGCCGCACTAGGTATCTCTGATTCCTGCCACTACTATTGGCACTGACCCTCATTGGCAATGTGAATGCAGACTAATGGATCGTGTTGTTTGGTTTATCATCATAATGTACAAGGTTGGTAAGGCTGGGGAGGATTGTTCATAGATTATACTATCATATTGTACCATGCAGGGTTTTCTCAACCAGGGTTCCTCTAGAGGATGCTAGGGGTTTCCTGAAGAATGAACAATTTCTTCCTCTCAGGTAACCAACCACTTACACTAATTGATATTTTTTGCTATCTGTAAGTGGGTAATTCTTTCCAATGACCACAAGTGTAAGGAGCATTTTGCCATTAATGTATCATGAATTTTAGACAGTCATTTGTTAGCAGGGGTTCCCTGAGACTGTATAATTACTTCAAGGGTTTCTCTGTGTTAAAAAAAGGTTCTGGAAGGGCTGATATAGTGTATGGCTTGTGTTATACACACATCAGTTTGTGGATTTATTTATTCTTTTTTATATATTTCCTCACATTTGGTCCATGTTTTAATCAGAATATGTACATATTAAGGTCACATAACATAACAGAATCACAAACCACAATCCAGGGGGCCATAGATTTGGAGGAAAGGTTGAAAGCAATAAAAGGCCCATCAAAGCAGTGTGTGTATAGTAAGAAATGTAAACTGGGAAGCCTCTCAACAAAGTCAAGATATGATAAAAACTGTATAATGGGTAAGATTTCAATATAATGGAGCATAATAAAAGGAATAGAAAATGTACTGGAGGCTCACATAGAAAAGTAAAGCCAGTGAAAGCAGATTGCATGTTTACTGATCTTTCCAGATTGTCCAGGAGTGAAGGACGTGCACAAAAACGTCCCAACGCTTTTTTGGAGATCCAAGGGCAGGGAAAAAAATGGAGGGCTGACAAATTTTTATACTTCCAACACTATTGGCTATTGGGTAATTGGTTTCAAATATGATTCTGAGAAGGGGATACTGTATTGATGTCGGATTGATATGGAGATGCCTTATAATCTTTGTAGCCTTAAAGACAGGGTCACTCCCAGATCCTTGAAACGCTTTGCCCACTTTTAGGATTGTCCTCCTGATTTTCATTTGAATAAGTTGTATCTGGACCTTTCAGCAGTGGTGTGGTGCGCCAGTTTCCATTTTTGTATTTGATGATGTCAGAGTGCAACTGATGCGTGGAGCATAAAAAGAGAAATAACTTTGGGGGACGGTAGCGAGGGGGGGAGCAGACTGCAGGGAGCCAGGGATAAGGTGATTGAAGCTGCTTTTTAACCTCACAATCGTGGAACACATACAGTGTATGCAGCATCCATGAAGTAAGATTTAAATCTGGTGCTGTATATATGTGTTCTAATGTTTGCACTGGGATCTGGGGCTCTGAGCAGCTAGGTGAGGCTAATGACCCCATTCACTATAATGACAAGTTGCAGGTAATCTCAGCTGTCTGCCACAAAGTCTTTGGGGGGACAAAGCCTCTAACCCTGGGGTCCAGATCTTACTGTGTACAGGTACTCACAGCCATTATAATCAAAAGGCATGGCAGTGATTCAGATTTCCATCTGGGAGACAGGAGGTCTCTTGACCAGAGGCTAGGACATTGGCCAGAGCAGCATGGAGCTGGGGGAGAGGTGTAGAGTTGCACATGGGCACAGTGGTGCTGAGGAACCAGACCAAAGGCCTAAGCTTGAGGCCTGAGCAGCGGAACTGAAAGTCCAAGCCAAGGGACTTAATGTCATTTTGCTTTTGTGTTTGAAGTTATGGTAGAAACCCCTGCAAGGGTAACCTTTTTGTTTTTCATTGAAACTTTTACTTCTTTAAATAAAAGTGGGCAAACAAGCCCTAAAACGGTATTTCCTGGCTGGACTGAACTAATTGAAAATCACTACATCTTGAGTGAAACCCCACAAATAGCCCAAGAATTACAAACTATACCTGAAAATAATTTCTTAAAATATTAACATTGCGGGGTTTATTTACTAAAGCTGGAGAGTGCAAAATCAGGCTCACTTCTGCATAGAAACCAATCAGCTTCTAACCTCAGCTTGTCCAGTTACGCTTTGCCAATAAAACTTGGAAACTGATTGGCGACTATACAGAAGTCAGCCTGATTTCACACTCTTCAGGTTTCGTAAATAAACCTCACATTGTCTGAAAAGATCTCTTTCTTTATGAATGATCTTATGCCATTTTCATTTCATTATATTCATATTTCTTCAAACCGTTACAGCTTTATATATGTCTATATCAACATTCAAAAAGAAATTAGAAACTATTTAAAAAAAAAGTGTTATTAAACCCTCAAGCAGTGTTGGTTTGCTGTTCAATTTCTGTCTCCAGCCTTCCTTTTAAGGAAAGCACTCAATGATCTTAGAAAGCATAGTATATCCCTGGTGACAATGCTGCCTTGAAGGGACTCCCTGCAGTCCCACTGTTGTCACTTGTCTTGCATGCTACTGGCTTGGACTATAACTGTCTATATAGATCAATGCACACAGGCAGCACAAAAAGCCTTCCTCTACCCCTTATGTTCCAGCTGTCCCTTACTGTACTGACATGTTCATGGGCATTAGACTCATGTCCAGTACATTGATCTTGATGGTGTCAGAAGACCTGAGGCAGCTGAAGCATAGGGGAAAATAAGCTGTGGGGGACCTGCCTTACAGCTTGGAGGGACCCTTTGGGAGTGGAGGATCAGGCAAGTAAAATGGCTTTTTCAGACCCCCTAGACCTAACTGAGCATGTAACCCCTGCACTGCGGTGTCAGCTCCCTTGCAAGGCAGGATTTTTCTTTTCTTGGACTTCAGCCTTAAATAATTATTGCACTAAACTACAAATCCAAAATTAACTCAATAAAATATTTAACAGTCTCTAAATCTGTAAAATGGATCTAAGGCAGGAAGGTGAGGGAGACCTCTACACAAAAAGAAACACAGTACATACCTTGCTTGCTCGGTTTAAGGGTGGCAAATGCAAATGTCTTATCTGACATTCCTTTTTTATACCTTTTAGTTAAAAGCCATCCAACTGAACACATTCTGGCCAAGCATATGTGTTTTTTTTTTTAATTAATGTATGTGTTTGTAAACACACATCACAGTTTGCTCCTCTGGGGAGGCCATTTCAACTTATTCTTACTATTGTAACAATATTTTGTCCCCAGACTCTAATTTAAAAAAGCACTAGCACTTTAATTGGGTGATAGATACATAATAATTTTGGAGATATTTTTGTATATGAATTTTTGCACATTTATTTTTGAAACATTTGTTGTATGGCATTTTTTAAAAAGATATTATATTGTATATGTGACACTTGATGTATAGGGGTACCTTACATATATATTTTTTGAGGTAAAGAGAAGTTTGACTCACATTTAGAGGACTTTTTCATGAGCACTTTTTTTTATAATTTAATTTAAGATAAATTAAAATTAATTCAATTATTTTATTCATCATTAATTTAAACATGTCTGGAACTTTATATCAAATTTGAATAAAACATGATCTTTTGTGCCCTGAAAGGAATTTATATTTTTTAGGGTCTCAATACATATATTTTCCATCAACATTGAACTCCAGACAAATAAGTAAATCCACAGATAGAATTCAAAAGCAGTAGCTGTTCTGCTGCCAATTAATTTGTATTTCCATTTTTGTAGTCCTGAAATTGAGAGGAATCTCTGCTATCCCATATTTTTTTTTAAATCACATCTGGTACTCAAATAATTGAAAAAACTTTAAAGCAGTACTGTCGAATTTTACATTCAATGGCAATTACTTTTTTCCCTGTTTCCGCTCCAAGCCGCTATAAAGCACTGTGTAAATTGACGCCGCTATATAAGTACCTGTAATTAATAAATAAATGCTAAAAGGGCTTGCTTATTTAACACTTCGTGGAGTTTTAGATTCCTGTGTGCTCTCCGACTGCTACACTTATCTTTTCTTCAACGTCTACAGCACTATAGGACTTAGCAGTGATATAGGGATGAGAGGAAGATACCAGTGTAGCAGGGGACACAGACATCTTCTATATGTGCTGAAAGTGTTGAGCACCAAAAGGGCTTATGGACACTGCTGGGCAAGAACAGAGGGGAGGGGAGGATATGTTGCTTTGTGAGTATAATAGCTCATCTCCTACAGAGAATTGCCATTCTACATTTTTATAAGACTTTATAAGCAGGTGCAGTTAGCTAGTCAGCCAGTGGGTGGCTCTGTTTGAGAATAGTGCCTGGTTACAAAAGGTAGTGCTATCAAGTGCTAGGCCCCTTTAAGTTAGAACCCTCCTGTAGTGGTGTCATGGGTGCTGCAGGACCCAGATAAAAGCCAGGTTGGGAGGAGGCCCAGTGCAGTTGGGGCATAGGAGCCAAAACACCCCACATGTATCCAGGTGTAGCAGCCCTAAAAAGGGCTGGGGAGAGGAAGACCTGCACCAAGGAGATCCAGATGTGGAATTCCTGACCCTTAAAGTGGTGGGGGCAGATTGCAAAAGGCCTTTTTGTCCTGGCCAAGCATTTATTGAGTGAGGCTATTTCCCTGGGAGGGTCCAGGGAGAGGTGTACCTCTGGAGGAGATGACTACAGCGCAATCCCTTTCCAGGGAGTACTAATGACCCCAGGTGGAGGGAGAGATTGTCAGAATGAAGATGAAGTATAAAGCTGGTCACTCGGTGTACTTTTAATGAAAAAAATCTTTTATCGGCTACTTGAATGACGCAGGTTCAAAAACACAACGCATTTCAGCTTCTACAGCCTTCTTTACAGCATAGTGAAGAAGACTGTATAATCCGAAACGCATTGCATTTTTG